CTCTGACACGGAAAGACAACCAACACGAGGGATGGGAAGAGGGTGAGAGAAACGAGGAGAGAAGGCGGGAGAGGGGTGAAACGAGAGTGAGCGGGTGAAAGACTGATGGTATGAAGCTCCGCAGATCAAAGTTATAGCACAAAGACAGATGCCAGAAAGAAAGAGCTCATGCAGAGAGATACTGGAGCACCCTGCAGGCCGTCAACACATGATCAGCTGCTTTCACTATAACAGCAGCTCAGACTGTTACTAAAGTGATGGGTCTCTTATGTATGGATATATATATAAATGGAATTCTGGGGGCTGATGCTGATATTAGGGAGTCAACTACTTATATATTGGCCGATATATACATATATTAAAACTAGAAGGCACTCAGTAAACTGCTGCATGAATCCACTCAGGCCCAATCGTCACCTCAAATTCAATCAAGCTGCACCAAATTGCACAAACTCATAGAAATCAGTCCCCTGAATGTGTCTGATCCAAAAAGATCCATGAATCATTCCCTGGGAAATCAGTGAAAATGACAAAATAAACGCCAATGTTATAAAAAAAAGTAAAAGTTTTTCTATCTGCAAATATAAACATTGATGCGAATGATTTTTAACCAGTGACTCGGTCGGGCTTTATAAACTTTCAGGTGTTTCAGGTTGGTTTCACTCCTATTCCAGAGAAATTGCAATATTTTCCATTGTTGAAATGAAAAGTTGTTTCCCAAATTCTTGCATCGATATTTAAAACCGCTCGGATCAATCACATTCAGCTTCTGTTTCCATCGCCAACGTTTTCCCACAAACTTTCTTGAGAAAACGCCAACCTCAACATGTGAACACTTTCGTGTCAGGATGATTCTCAAGTTACACCAAAGTTCTCATGTGCAAAGAAAATATTTTCTGTCCGGCAGCCAAACACTGAATTTCACGAGATGTCCGAGCTCTTATTTTGTGTTGCTTCCAATGGGTGTGGCTCACTTTGAGACAAAACACGAATGGGTTCCCATCACTACATTTTTTTAATAACTTTTATTATTCTTAAAGAAAATCATTGACTTTTCATATGTGAATGGAAATTGGTACAAACACTGCACAGATATAAAGACACACAAAGAATGACAGAGAGCAATGTTAAGTATGCGCAGCTAATTTGTGTGAAACCATTGGTAAGGTTGTTTAAAATGACACACACACACACACACACACACACACACACACACA